GCAGGAGGTTGCTCCAGGCCCCACACCTGAGGCACTGGGAGGGTTGCCCCAGGCCTTGTGCCCCCCTAGGGACGGCCCGGCCTCTCACCAATTGGAACATCTCCAGGGCCCCAAATGTTGCAAAGGGGCCACCATTCCAATGGGGGCCACGCTCGGCTCTATCGTGGCTCCTCTGCGTGGGGCCATCCCAGGAAGCATCCCGGAGCTTCGGAGCAGAACCGAGAATTTACCTGCGGTCTCCATGACGCCCAGCGCCCTGGGGCCTAGACCCTGGCGAGGCGCCCGTTACGGCTGCCATCCCGGGGCCTGGTGTGCTGTTTCCTACTCCTGAGCCACCCAGGCGAGGGGTGATGGGAAATGCCCTGCATGGACACGAGCCAAGCTGCCGCCCTCAGTGGAGTTCACCGGGTGTCTCCTTTGTTTTTGGCAGATCCTTGGCTGCTGGGTCTGGATCCTGGTGGCGGCCACCACGGTGCACTTCCCGCTGCTGCAGGGATGGGTGATGTACGTCTCCCTCAGCTCCTTCGTCTTCTCCTTGCTCTTCCTCTTGTGTTACCTCTTCGGGTTCCACGGGAACAGCAATTCGTGGAAAGTCGTGGTAAGAGCACCCGCCGTTATTGCCAGAGCTACCGCCAGGCAGTAACTTCAATTTCTTACAGGTTCTGCCCTATCAGAGTTGGGGGGCAGGGGGGTTGCGACGCAGCAGAACCTGTAAGAAATTTAAATGTGGGGCAGAGTGCGGGGGGCTCAAGGCAGTGGGTCGGGGTGTGGGGGGTTGTGCAGGAGTTAGGGCATGAGGCTGGGGGATGGGGGGTGCAGGAGTCAAGATTTGGGAGGTATGAGGGGCTCAAGGCAGTGGGTCGGGGTGTGGGGGGTTGTGCAGGAGTTAGGGCATGAGGCTGGGGGATGGGGGGTGCAGGAGTCAAGATTTGGGAGGTATGAGGGGCTCAAGGCAGTGGGTCGGGGTGTGGGGGGTTGTGCAGGAGTTAGGGCATGAGGCTGGGGGATGGGGGGTGCAGGAGTCAAGATTTGGGAGGTATGAGGGGCTCAAGGCAGTGGGTCGGGGTGTGGGGGGTTGTGCAGGAGTTAGGGCATGAGGCTGGGGGATGGGGGGTGCAGGAGTCAAGATTTGGGGGGTATGAGGGGCTCAGGGCAGGGGGTCGGGATGTGTAGGGAGTGTAGGGGGCAGGATGGGGGCTGGGCATAGGGGGTAGAATATCTGGGGGAGTCCTAGGGCCAGGTTACCATACATGATTGAGGCCAGGTCTCTGCCATCACAGCCAGACGGGCCAGGCCAGGATTTCTGTGCCCAATTCTGCCTCCCCTCCTGTGCCAGTCCCTGCCAGGAGCCCATGGAGAGCTCACACCTCCAGCACAGCACCCCCCGCCAGCAACGTTAAGCCGGCCTGCCTCCTGAGGGGGGCACCCGAGCCGGCTCTTACCGGGGTGCTCACCCGTCAGGCCTCACCTGTCAAGCAGCCAGCTGGTTTCAGACCTGACTTTTCACCTAGTCGTCACTTTCTGACCTGTGCCACAAAGGGGTCGGCAGCTGGAATTAGTACCACACCTCCAGCACAGCACCCCCCGCCAGCAACGTTAAGCCGGCCTGCCTCCTGAGGGGGGCACCCGAGCCGGCTCTTACCGGGGTGCTCACCCGTCAGGCCTCACCTGTCAAGCAGCCAGCTGGTTTCAGACCTGACTTTTCACCTAGTCGTCACTTTCTGACCTGTGCCACAAAGGGGTCGGCAGCTGGAATTAGTACTTCTCCACCTTTCCTTGTCTGGGCACATGTAAGGGGAATATATGCAGTGGTAGAGTAAAATATACAGGTGAGTTAATGATGCTGTCGAAACTTAACTGGGGCCTTTCCTCCCTTTTTGTGACTTTGTGCAAACTTAATGCGCCACTGATGTATTTTTGTGTCTATTGATAGCGTAGCATCATTGACTGTAACCACTGGGAAGACACTTTGGGTGCGTCTAGACTACATGGCTCCGTCGACGGAGTTTACTAGATATAGCAACATGAAGCAGTGATTGAAATAATTACCGCTTCATTTACATCAAAATGGCCGCTGAGCTGTGCCGATCAGCTGATCCGGCACAGCGGGGCAATCTAGACGCGCCATGGTCAACAAGGAAAGCCTTTGTCGACCACTCCGGTATGTAATTTTCCTTTTCTTGAAGGATGACTGTGTTCATTTGTAGAAGAAGAGGGTTTCAGTAAGAATCGGTCGACAAAGGCTTTCCTTGTCGACCGTGGCATGTCTAGACTGCCCCGCTGTGCCGGATCAGCTGATCGTCGGCACAGCACGGCGGTCATTTTGCTGTAAATGAAGCGGCTTTTATTTAAATCGCCGCTTCATTTTTCTATGTCTAGTAAACTCATCTACATGGCTCCATCGACAGAGCCATGTAGGCTAGACACACCCTTTCATTCTAACCCAACTCTTAGGTTGCTTGTGACTCGCAACATGTCTCCAACTGTGACCCACCTGGCCCCGGCCCAAAGGGGAGTTGTTGGAAACATGAGAAAATTTGTTCCAGCTGGTTTTGAGTCATAGCAACATCACCCTTCCCACTTCATTAATAGGCAGCAGGTTTAAAACAAACGAAAGGAAGTTTTTCTTCATTCAGTGCACAGTCAACCTGTGGAACTCCTTGCCAGAGGATGCGGTGAAGGCTAGAACTTTAACAGGGTTCCAAAAAGAGCTAGATAGATTCACAGAGGGTAGGTCCATCAATGGCTATTAACCAGGATGGGTAGGAATGGTGTCCCTAGCCTCTGTTTCTCTGGAAGTGAGTGACAGGGGAGGATCACATGGGGATTACCTGTTGTGGTCCCTCCCTCTGGAGCATCTGGTATTGGTCACTGTCGGCAGACAGGATACTGGGCTAGATGGACCTTTGGTCTGACCCATTTTGGCCATTCTTATGTTTCTTATGTTTCTTTTGAACTGAAAAACGGGCCTGGGACAGCTGACAGGCCGTAGCTGCGACGTTGATCTGGAAAGTTCAGCTGTGATCACAGAACACTAGAACTGGAAGGGACCTTGAGAGGTCATCGAGCCCAGTCCCCTGCCCTCATGGCAGGACCAAGCACTGTCTAGATCATCGCTGATGTGATGGGAATGAGGAATGCCTGTGACTGTGCATTTCACCATCACAAACCTTCCACTTCTGTCTTGGTTTGCAGGATAGTCTGTACCATGGAGCCACGGCCATTTTCTACATGAGCGCTGCGGTCTTACAAGCTAATGCAACAATCCGCTCTGAGACAGAGGTGTCTGCAGAACTTATTCCTCGCTACTACCAGATCAACACCGCTGCCTCGGTAGGTAGAATGTGGAGAGCGTGGATTAGTCACAGTATTTCGTAGCTACCTCCCCTTCCTGTCTAATTTCCATGGGAAAATGTCGACATAGCTTGAATTTTTTCTGCATTTTTGTATTTGTTTATTTGGGGTTTTTTTTTCATTCCTGTCTAATTTCCATGGGAAAATGTTGACATAGCGTGAATTTTTTCTGCATTTTTGTATTTGGGTTTTTTTTTTTTCCGTGTCAGTGGGACACTTAATCTGAGTCTGCTTGAGCTGCCATGGTGCTTGATGGGACTTGTAGTCCAGGGCCTCAAGTCCTTGTTCTCCCCACTGGGCTCCCTGGCTAGACTGAGTTTCCCATGATGCACCATGGCTGAAAGGCAGCGGTGTACTGTAGGATCCCATAACTGCAGGTTACCAGGGGAAATGTCATCCAGCTAGGAAAGTGGGGGAGAGGGAGGAATGAACCATCCAAACTACAACTCCCATGAGGCATTGCAACGGGTCAGGCCCATCCAAAAGAAAACGTGTCAACATTTGGGAACTGAATTGTTTTGTAAAGTTTTGGCTAGTGAACAGTTTTGATATTTTTGCCTTTTCCTCACAACCGGAAAGACAGAAAATTCCAATTTCCGGTCAGTGCGTCCCTGGAGCGACAGTTTTGATATTTTTGCCTTTTCCTCACAACCGGAAAGACAGAAAATTTCAATTTCCGGTCAGTGCATTCCTGGCGCTTCCCCACAGTTGGGGTTTGAGATTTTCTTCATTAATAGTTGGGATTTAGTTGGGATTGGTCCTGCCTAGAGCAGGGGGCTGGACTTGATGACCTTCTGAGGTCTCTCCCAGCTCTATGGTTCTATGATTCTATGAATAGGTTGGCGAGAGCATTTTAAGGACTTAAAATCTATTGACGAAAGGGCATTGGAGGGGTCACTAAGGACACAGAGGAGCAAAAGGCTGAAATCAGTAATTTCATTGCTCAGTAATGTTCTTTCCATTTTTCCTTTCAGTTCTTTGCTTTTATCACGGCTCTGCTGTATATTTTACATGCCTTCAGCATCTACTATCACTGAAGACAGCTGTCAAAGAGAGCAAAGGTGTGACAGACACACGAAACAGTGACACCTGGACTTTGTGTACCCAAAACCAATGGCTTCATGGATTAAGAACGGAATGCAGTGTAAATTTAGGTCATTCAGAGCCTACCTCTGCTTCTTTTTAATTTTAAAGGGTATTTTGTTTTGTAAATCTATGTTGAAATCGTAATTTTTATGCTGTCTCGTCTATTTTCTGTCTGAAAACAGCGTAGTTTGGGGAAACGTTTGTTCAAGAGACCCAACACAGAATCTTGGCATCTTCTCTTCCCTGCGTATCACGGTGTCTCGGCTGCTGGCTATTTCCAAAGGCGCTCCGGATGTGCTCGTGGTAGGGGTGAAATACCTTACTGGAAAATATAAATGTTTCTTGGATTTCTTATGCCAGCTCCTTTGTTATATATTGTAGTTAGTTGAGTTTTTCTATCATTCCAGTGAAATTATGGCTCCTCTGAGTTCAGTTTGGTTAGCCTGGCTAAGCCCGTAGTTCAAGCTCTGTTTGACTCTTTGGTCAGATCTCAGCATCTCCGAGAAGTGGGCAACTTTGCATCCTTCTGGGTCATTGGTTGTCACAGGCCTGGCTATTGGATTTGCCATTGTCTTCTCAGATGCCCGACCAGGGGCTGCTGCTGGAGACAGGTGGGCGTGGAGTTCTACTTCCCAGCTCACCACAGCTGTAGGGTCCCACTGTCCAGCCTGCCAACTATTCAGCAGCTGGGACTATTTTGGCTTGGTGTGGCTGGCCACCGGCAGAATTCACCGGCAATACCGGTAAACCTCATGTTTACCGGTTATCCATTTAACATCCCTAGTGGCCATCTACCTGTCTCCAAAGTATATTACGCCTCGTGGATCCATCCACCAGAAAGGAAGAACATCAGGAAATCTTTCTGCCTCTTGTAACAGACAAACTTGGGAGTGGTACAAGGGGGCACAAAAGACATATGCATTATTCTTTAGCTGAGTAGACAAAAGAGTTGAAACGTCTGAGCTCTGAAAGTTCCTGGCCAGAAAATCCGGTCTATCAAGCTGGCAAAGAAGCATGGTGAGAAACGCTTCTTTGAATAAAAGACTTTAATCAGGATGGAGTCTTAGAAGTATATTTTGAATTTTTTTTCTTGTAACTTGTCTTTATTCCTTGCTCGTGGGGGTCAGTTAAATCTATGAATCTGGTTAATAAACTTTTCCCGTTGACTATGCCCCAACACAGTGCTGAGACTGATATGAGAGTGTTTGGCAAAGCTCAGGTGAAGTAATGAGGTGCAGGGGGTTGGCTCTTCCAAGGAGCAATGAACTTAACAATGTCTCTGGGGAACTCAGGTTTCCCCTAAGGCTGTGTCTACACAGCAGCATTATTTGGGAATAGCTGACGCAGAGAGGTAGCGCAGGGCGCTCAGTCCAAGCTGGCCTGTCCTACTGCCTAAGCCTGCGAAAAGGAGACCCAGACTCTAAAGTCACGTAGATCATAGAATCACAGAACACTAGAACAGGAAGGGACCTTGAGAGGTCATCAAGTCCAGTCCCCTGCCCTCATGGCAGGACCCAGCATCGTCTAGAGCATCCCTGACAGGTGTCTGTCCAACCTGCTCTTAAATATCTCCAGGGGTGCAGATTTACAACCCCCGCAGGCAATGTATTCCAGTGTTTAACCACCCTGACAGGCAGGAAGTTTTTCCTAATGTCCAACCTCAACCTCCCTTGCTGCAGTTTCAGCCCATTGCCCTTGTCCTATCCTCAGAGGTTACGGGTTGCTACAGATAATTCTTTCCCAAGTATTTGCCAAAATATTCATGGTCTGACTGACCCATGTTTGGAGTTGGGAAGGAATTGTCAATGGGTCAGATGTGCAGAGCGCTGGGGGGTTGGGTGGGCAAGGTTCCTCGCTGGGTCACTAGCTGGGTTCAGCGAGTGTAAGCGGAGGATGCTCCATCACTTGACCTCTGAGGACTTCAGTAACTTCGGCAGAGACGGTGGGGCTAAGTCGGGAGGGATGGATGAAGTTCTGTGGCCTGCTACGTGCAGGTTGGACCAGAGGATCATGATGGCCCCTTCAGTCTAAGTCAATGAGACCTGCCTTTTGGCTTGCTCTTGGATGCCCGCTCTGACCCATGGCTCCGAATCCCTGGTCTCTGACTGCCACTGCTCTGACTGCTAGGCATGACTGCCCCCGCTATGACTCTACAAGGGCTTTGTTTGGGGAGGTGGGGGTGTCATGAGAACAGAAAAACTCCTCGTGTGCGTGCTGGCTGCATCTAAGCTAGAGGGCTCGCCTAAGCTAAGTCAACATAGGCCCTGGAGCAGTTGTGGGCAAGTGGCCCTCCAGTGGACCCCACTGGGGTACCACCTGGGGCCTGCGGACCCCCGTCTGCCCTCCATGCCCACGCGCCTCTCCTGCCCTGGGGTCCCGCACTTCCTCCCTCCCAGCGCTTTCAGAGCACCATGACGCCACTAATTCCCCTCGCCTCCCACTCTCCCCACTGCAGATGCAGGAAGGCCACTCCCTAGTGCTGGCTGTCCAGTGTAGACGCACCCTCCGCTTTCATACACAAAGCGTTTCCAGCCCTCGGGCTTGCAGAGACCAGGTGTAGGAGGTCCCCTCTCACAGAGGGCTTATAAAATCCGTCCTGACCTCCTGTGGCCACGGAGGACCCCTGGGCCTTCTCCTCCCCCCTGACAGTGAAGCCCCAGTCAGACTCCAAACCCCAAGGAAGCGGGGGCCCAAAACGAGAGGCGCCCCACGGAAGGGGCCTCCATGGACGGTGAAGTGCCGCCTGGCAGACGCGCGGTTCTGGCCCAGGTGGGACGGGGCGCGGCGTCAGCTAGTTAAGGGACGTCCCACACTCCCACTACGCCCCCTCCCAGGTAGGTTAGTGGATTGATCAGTTAAGGAGACTTTCACACTGAGGAGCTGGCGCGCCAGTGCTGAGCCGGCACCATGCTGGAGGCACCAGGCTACCCACCAGGAGGGCCGGGCTCAGGGCCTTCCGCTCATCTTCCCCCCCACCCCGGGCTAGGATCCCCCCTCTTCTGTCAGACGAAAGAGGCCCTGGAGTTGGGGTCTCCCAGCGCACTCAAGCTACGTCTACGCTGCCCTGCGCTTCCGGAAAAAGCGATGCAAATTGCAAACCGCAATGTGCGTCGCTTTTTCCATTTCTTTTTCCAGAAGAGGCTTGTCTGACATTTGGCCCGTCTACGCTGGGCCAAATGTCGGGAAAAAACCCGTTTCCAGAACATCCCTTCTTCCTCGGAAAACGAGGTCTACAGGGATGCCGAAAAAGCACGTCTGCTCTTCCAGAAAAAGGTTTAGAAGAGCAGACGCGTTCCCTGGCCGCGGCAGAGTTTTTCTGGGATACCTCCGGTTTCCCAGAAAAACCTTGCAGTATAGTCATAGCCTCAGAGAAATGGTGTTGACTGAGTCGGAGCATTCGAAGTCGCTCCCATAGGGGGCGCTGTGCTGCTGGGGGTTCCCGCCTATGCATGGGAGGGGCGACAGAGCCCTGTATCTAGGGTGACCAGGTGTCCTGTTTTTAAAGTGACAAGCCCGTATTTAAGCCTTTTATCTGGTGTCCCCACATTTAAAAAAAAATGGCAAATTGGCCCGTGTTCCCTGTCTCTTCCTGTCCACCGGTACTGGTAGGTCCCACTGCTGGCTGGGGCTTTGCTCGCCAGCTTCCCGTGGGGAGGGCCAGTGGCCGAGGAGGGGGGTGAGTGTGCAAGGCTGGTGGCTGGGCAGAGCTGCAGTGTGTGGGGCCGGCTGCTCCCGCTGCTCCAGGCTGTCTCGGAGGCTCCAGGCTCAGTCTCGGAGGCTCCTCTCTGCTCGGAGGCTCCTCTCCATCCTTGTCCTGCCCCATTTCCAGCCAGCGCGGGCGGGCGGCTGCAGTGGCGGGTGAATGCGGCGGTTTGTGGCTGGCAGGTTCCTTCCTCCCACCAGTGCCCCAGGGAAAGCGCCGAGCCCCTGACCCAGGTCGCCCAGAGGAGCCCAGCCCTGCCTGTGCCAAAGGCCCCCACAGCCCTGGCCTGGGGAAGCTTCTCCGCCCCTCAGCGTGGCTCTGGAGGGGTGGAAGCAATTTCCAACCTGCTGGCAACTCGCACCCTCTCAGTCCTGCCCCATGCGTGCGGGGCTGCTCTGTCCCTAGGCGCCCTCCCCTGCTGAGCCAGCTCTCTGGCCCGGCTGGCCAAAGCCCCAGCAGTCAGGTCCCTGGGCCCTGGTGCTCCGTGCATCTTTGGGGCCTAACCCCTTCCTGCCAGGGGGCAGGAGGCGGCTGGGTTCTCTCCCTGGCCAGCCGCAGCCTGGAGCTGTGCGCTGCCTTTCGACATCGGGCAGGCAGGAAGGAACAAGCTGCTTCCAGCCATAGTGGAGCAGGGGGTGAGGTGGGAGGGACGAAATGAGCTGTGGAAAAACACAGGCCAACTCATCCCTCCCCGCTCCTCACCCCCTTTGGCGGGAAGCAGCTTCCGTCCCTCCCCTCCCGCCAGTGCCGAAAGGCTGCTGCTGGCCACTTTCTGGGGTGAACCCTGACAGAAATCCGGGGAGAGGTCATGTGACCCTGAGTGCCTCCCCCCGTGTTGAAGATGCAGCACCAGGTATCAGAAGAGGCAGATCCGTCCTGGTGGCTCAGCCATGGAGAGTAGAGCGCTCTGGGCAGGGCGGGTTGGCCAGGCATATGTGGGGAGTTTGCATGCGTGTCACCTCTCCCCATACAAACCTTCAAGATGTGGGAAAAGGTGCCGAGTAAGAGCCAGGTGTAATCACGTCGCATCAGGCTTCAGAGGTGAGTGGTGAATTCTGCAGCACGTGGACTTCCAGAGGACTCATGTCCAGTCTGCCTAGGTGTGGCATTTCCACTGCAAGTCCCATGTCCATTTCGGGGTTAGACTAGGACTTGAGGCCTTGTCTACACAGGTAAATTGCACCCGTCCAACCTGAGCTGTGACTTTAAGCTGATGTCGTTAAACCAGTGCAGACCACTGTGTGGATGGGCTTATCTCAGGTTAACCCAAGCTCATTTCCATGTAGCCGAAGCTGGTGAGAACAGCGGAAGGAAAACAGACAAGCCCCGCTTAAACTGAAATCACTGTGTTCGCACAGGGGTTTTGACTGTCAGTTTAAAACCGGAGTTTAAGTTCATCTGGTGCAGCTTTCCCATGTAGGCAAGGCCAAAGGCGTGTATTGTCCAAATGACAATGTAGAACTCTAAATTTAAAATCTTTTCCGTTAAACGCATTTGCGGAAAATCGTGCCAGTCTAGACGTAGCCTTTGAGTCACTGGGCACTGGAGGGGGAGCTGTCCGCAGCAGGATTGGAACTGGGGCATCCTGGATCCACGTGCGGAAGTCGCTCCTCCTTGAGCAAAAAAAACCCGGCTCTCGGGGCCAGCCCTGTAGCGAGCGCATCAACCTCCACGTGTAACCCAATCCTTGCCAGAGTTTGTTTGTTTCACATTGGAACTAGAGCGTAGTGGCTTAGCCAGAAGGCCCGACTTTGGGTGGGTGGGCAAGAATGGGAGGGGGGGGGGAATGCTGGTGGGGATTTGGACCTGATTACAAAGGGCCATGGCCCTCTCAAACCCACCTGTGACCAAGGTTCCCTCTAACTTTTTTCCATCCATGTGCAGGATAAATTTTGTTCTGTGCACCAA